AATCTTATGATTATGAAAATTTGAATTCATCTAATGCACTATAAACAATATATTCTTAATTCTAACTTGAAATTTAAGGTGGACGCAGCTTTAGTTGAGAAATTCGGATTGAGTCGTGACTGGTATTCACAATTCTATATCTAAACTACCATCTGAAAAGTGTGCAAGCTTCGTGGTTTAAAAAAAAAAAAAAGGCAACAATAAACAAAGATGTGCAATACATCTGGACCTATGTATCACTAATATGTAAAGGATGATTATGTACCATAAGAAACGAACAGCCTCGGTGATAAAGTGAGGCTCACAGAAAAGAAAAAAAAAAAAAAAAAAAAAAAAAAAAAAATTGTACATGGTCTATTATTGCAGCTTATGTTGCAACAACTTTTGTGACAATAGCGTCAAAAACTCATATATTGAACGTGATAAAGTTTTTGCAGGTTGGGTTGATGCTACTTCCAATTCATAGAGATGTTTGCAGTATTTTCACTTTGCTTATTATTTTGCCAAAAAAGGGAGAGTAGTTTTTGGATAACAATTTTTTTGAATATGTTTTCTGCTATTGTTTTGCCAAATAATGCCAAAAAGGAGAAATTGTTAGATTGTTTTGTTGGCAATTGTGGCAGAAATATTCGAGAAAATATTCTGCGTATCTAGTTACATGTTGTGCAAGAAAAAGCTGTCGGGCATATTTGAATTTGAAGAAAAGATTCTATCAAACAAGCTTCAAATATATGCATTACTTAAAATTATGGGAAGATAAATTTAAAAACATATATGCGCTGAAGATATGTCACAACTATCAAAGATTTGGCCAAGATTTGATCAAGATAATCCAATTCTGAATTGACTTCAAATTCAAGTTTTAATAGGATTCGGGCTTGTGTGCTATAAAGATCAGGTTGTGTGATTAGTTAATGTCAAGACCAATTCGATGTAAACGTTTATGTAGAAGAAACTGTTCAGTTTTTTAACGAATTTTAAAATTTAAGGGCAAATCGCAAAAATTAAAAGTTGAGAGATCAATTTGTCAAATACGTAAGATATTAAGGGGGGTGTGTTCATACAGAAATGTTTAAATGAAATTTGAAAGTATACTTTTGTTGACATTAAAAACTAAAGGTATACTTTTTTAATAAACTTTAAATAAAGGGTACAAAAAGATAAATAACCTTTCAAAATAAAGCACTCACAACATGAATTGTCCCATCAACTATAATAACATCATTTCTCGTCAATTTTATTGTTAAATCCTCTATTTAATACTATCTAGAAAAATCTTCCAAATTCTATTGCTAAATCCTTCCCTCTATTATTTAGCATAAAACAACAAAATATTAGCCATAGATTGTCGTCTTTAGCGACGATATTTTTTTTTTAGTCGCAAAGTTCTTAATCGTTGAAATGATCAATTTCTCTAGTGAGAATTAGGTTTTTTGTTCTGGGAAACTCTATAAATAAATGATGCGAATGGAAGTTTTGGGATATATTTCAAAGTGCTAAAATTTTGGAGAGAATTTTTTAAATTTTTTCAAAACTTTAATGCAGAATTATAGAATATGGCTAAATAAAGAGTCACTGGTAGATAAGATAACGTCTATCTCTAAGCTATCAAATTCATAGGTTAATTTGTTTTCATATTGAATTCCGATAAAGTGTCAGTCGTATCAACAAGGTGTTCCAGTTCATACATAGGCATCTCTTAGATATATATTACTAATATTCTCTGGTAGAATTTGTTGATCCAGCAACAGTTGAAAGCTACCTAGTACATAACCTTCAACATGTAAGGACCCTCACAGGGTGGGATATGTAGTTACGTGGCATTCCACCATCCATTCACTTGTGCTGTTATGATTGGACTATTCCAACGCTAATGATTTTTATCAAATCACGAAAATGTGACTGACGTGTTTTTGTAAGCATGTTGAAGAGAGAGCATATAAAGTGTACTATTAAGAGAAGGTGCCATATATATTGAGATCTCGTTCACTTCACCGATTTGAGTTTTTAATTTTAAATTTTTACAGTAAAAAGTTCTAAAAAAATGTCACGTTTAACTTTTTCTGCTACAGTGAAAAGCTCTCAGCAAATGTCACATCTCAGCTTGAATTAAAAACTCGAATCCGCAAAGTAAACGAGGCATGAATGTTTAAAGAAAAAAAAATATCACTCCACGACTTAACAAAATATTATTGGACTCACTGTACGTATGAATTTAAATTCAAGAGTGAACTCTCATAATCTATAGTAATTAATAACTCGTATAGTAACATATCATGATGTATGCCGACTTGATTGAATTATAGATTTTTTTTTCCCCCTTGATGTGGAGTAAATAATAAGGACAATCTAAGCCGTGCCATTTCTAGAAATTAAGAGTATATCGACAAAAAATGGTCCATAAGCCGGAACAATAATGCAAAAGTAGCCTTAAACGTGAATATATATATATATATTTTGTTTTTGTTTGAATTCCCATTCAAAACATCCTCAGCCACTAAAATATGGTAGTACTTCTACTACTAGACTACTCAAAAATAGACCCGTCAAGTTCTGCACGTGTGTTGCATTAAATGAGTCCCTCAAAGAAAATGACCTTGTGTATGTGTGTATAATGAATGAATGAATGAATGAATAATGATGCAGGCATTGACAAGTCCATCAATCTTTATTTGGGCTAGGCTGGTTTGTTTTGGCTTCTTTCGAATTTCCACCACAAGAAAAAGACCTAAAGTGTGGACATATATCTACAAAATATGCCCGGCTCACTTTCGGAAAATTGACGTTCTGATCAGAAGGGAAGAGGTCAAGCCAACGTGGTGTCCCTAGTGCCTATTACCACCAAATTGTGTAAATGAATAATGGCCCTCATCTCATCTGTGTTTGATTGAGTACTTTCACTGCTCCACTGTGGACCCGTGTTCAGACTTTGAATTCTAATTGATGAACATGTATCTAATCCATTGTTTTATTGTGATTTTTTTTTTCTTCTTGAAAAACGTTATATGGTTATTAAAGCCGAAACTGGATCATGTATTATTTTTTCTTTTACTATATATATTTTTTATTTATCGGGCACCCTCTTTTATTTTAGAGGAGTGGATCCTTTCAACTCCACTAGGAGTGTTTGAAGATATTTTCTTTTTCAGCCCGATACTTTTCTTTACACTCGCTTTGTTTATTTTCACGTTTAGAGGGAATTGTTGAACTTACTCTTAGAGCGTGTGAATATGATTTTTTACTCGGTACTCTTGATTAATACATTTTTTTACTAATATATAATTTGACTAAATAGAGTATTAATTAAGAGTGAGAAGTAAAAATCTAGACCCATATACTTTAAGGGATATTTGTCTCATTTTCCCTTTTATTTATTTTTCATTTGTTAATAAATTTTGAGTGGATTACTTGGTGTGGGACGTTGATATTCGTAGGTGCCAAGCTAAATAAAATATTCCAGAATCTGTTCATGCCATCACTTTTCTTTATTAAAAAAATTTAAATAATAAGGAAAGAAAGAAAGAAAAGTTTTACAATGATAATTTACTTGTATGTGTTTAAAAAAAAAAAGATCGTTAATTGTTACCATTACGAAATAATAATAGACAGTTGAAAGTATTAGATGGAAATTGCAAAACAATATCTTCTCTTACTGATGCTTAAAAGAGACTGAAAATAATTTAGGCCTCTTCTTATTATGAGACCAAGTTAAGAATCTGCTCATCATTCAAAAGTTTATGCTTTAGGAGATTTATGTAATAATATGTCGATATATATATTATTTTGTAACAATTAAATCTTTAATTATATAATAAGCTACAATTTAGGTTGTTTTAATCAACTTATTTGATATCCTGTCCTTTCATCTCATCAATTTTAAAAGGAAAAAAAAAAAAAAAAAAAAAAAAAAAAAAAAAAAAAAAAACTAAGATTGGTTGAGCTTTCAACCAGAAATGCTTAATCACTATTGGGATCTAACCAATACAAATAGTTGAATGACAAAGCAACGTATTGCAAAGCATATGTGTGTGATGAAGAAATTTAATAACTACATTTTGTAGCCTTCCGCAACGATTATATTGGGTACATGCATGAATGTCGGCAACTAATTGTCTCTTCAATGAAGTCATAATGGATAGAGGATCTGACTCATTGAATAGACGGTAGACACTCATTTGTCTCTTCTCCTTTCTCTATAATATTCTAAGACTGTTCTTACACGTTGATCTGTTTTATGAACATCGAAGTAGATGATATTTCGAGCAAGTAATTCTAAGGAGGCTTTTAATTTTTTTTTCCTCAAAATGTGTTATTTTTCTATTCAAGTTGGTTAAATTAATTATCTACTTTTTCTAATTAACCGAGCTGACAAATCATATTGTTAGAATAAAGTAACGACCTTATTTTACTCATTGGAGAATATTATTAGACTTCTACATTAGCTGGAGATATTGGCATGATCCATTTAATAAGGTGATGGCAATCCTCCCCTAACAAGCCGATTTTGTTAGGTATCCTTTGATTTCTGTAAAATGGTATCAGAGCATGCCCAGTTTTGTAATGTTGGGTCCTCCAATATCGACTTATTCGCAGAGGTTTGGCATGGTCCACGCTGTGCGCGAGCGGGGCGTATTACAATCTCACATTAGCTGGATATATTGACATGATCCACTTAATAAGGTGAGGCTGAGTTAGGCACAATATCTTTTGATTTCTGTAAAAAAATACGAAAGCAGCACGTGAAAATAACATTGATTGATCATTCATTTCTTTCTAGTAAGATTCGTTTTGATACATCAAACTCATTTTGTCCGTTTTTGCTTTTATAATTTAACAAATGAATTTTGATTGCATGATTGCTTTTCTCTATTTTTGAACCGTCGACTATATACTGCATGACACTAATTATCTTTCCACTAAAGTACTCCTCGATATTTATAATATAGTTTTCAAAACGTAATTAAGTAAATGACAACCTCTTCTTAAGAGTGCTAATAACATTTTCCCTAGTGATTTGTCACCGAGCAATAATTGGATGATGAGAATTATTGTGATGTATGGTACTTGGCGTGTGCCTATTTAAAGTCCCCACTTTAACTCCAATATTCATGTGTACTTGTAATTGTATTGCATCAATAGGCATCTCTATATGTCTTTTCCCACTAAGAATGACGACAAGGTGTAATTGCAAAACTACTTACTCACGGAGGAGACGAGGCTTGCACATGAAAAAGGGCAAGAGAAAGCTCAAGCTTCCTTTGATGAGAAATGCTGAGGCCGCGAAAACGTCGACTCTGCAGAAGCTTAGGCAGCTTCAGAGGCTCATCGATCCAAGGTGTGAGGAGATCATCATGAACCCAGAAACGTTGTATGAGGAAACTGCAAGCCAAATCTTTCAACTTGAAGCCAAGGTGAATGTTCTTAAAAGTCTCTTCACCATGTTCGGTGTGTAAATAATAATGTTTAAGAGGACTCTGATTATTTCCTCTCTCTTTAAAATATCGTACCAGATAGAATTCAGCGAGAGATCAGGGAGAGAGGGAAGCAAATCTTTAGTGTATCTATATTTGTAGTACTTGTATTATGCTACCGAAGAGAAAGAAAGAATAATATTGTACTTTTATTTCTCAATTTGCTAGTGGCTTGTTTGTAAATAATGTGACTAGAATAGTTTCCTACTAGCTAGATTAGTGACACCTTTATGAATTGATCACTTTGCTCATCCGGCAGATTAATGCTAGGATTTGTGTGTTCACAAAAAAAATAAAATAAGTTGTAAAAATAAGTGTACTATAAATTAATTGTTCAGTTGGTGAAACGGCTTATATGTCTTACTTGTATTGCATTAACTCATAGATTTTGGTCTAGATATTTCTACTTTCATGCAAATCATGATCGTTATGATCTATATGGTTTTAAATCACATGGTATGAACTCAAATGAAAAAAAAATATAGATAATACATATTTTTTTTAATTATAGAAGCTAGTTGTTCCTGAGACTCGAGTGTGAGATCTCTCCTTAAACAAGAGGTGAAAGTTCAGGTCGTCCTGCTCAACATGCCCCAACGACCCGAATGGAAATTGTGGGCCGTCCTTAAAGAGGGAAGGGTCAGCCCAGACCAGCTCTAAAGCTCGACATGCCTACGGCCGCCCTGGCCCAACCCGAAATTTTATGAGATATTTTCAAAAAAAATTTAAAATACAAAGTGTTCGGGATGGCCCAGCCCAGTCCAAATAAGGTTTTAGGCTTGAAACCTCTGTCCAACCCGATCCAAAAAATGGAGCCGGGCCGGACTGGACCCGGACCAATAAAGCGAGCCTCAGGCCAACTCGATTAACACAGCCTAAACTTACAGCTCTACCTTAAACCCACCTCACCCTTACTAACTTGGAACCAGTTGACATAATATTATTTAAATATAATATCTAGCTAATAGAGTATATATTAAACTATCTATTGGGATTTGATTTTGGTTTATCTCCCAAATTATGTTTGATTTCCACCTTGTTTAGATTATTTTGATTAGAATTATTTTGGGAATGGATATCTGATTGATTTGACAGAGAATTGGCAGCTAGTATCTTTGTTAGGAAAGGTTTTCACTGATATAGAAATCAGCATAATGGAAATCAAGCATAATAAAACAGAATGGATGGGATGAAATCATTTCTAATCTAGTTTTTTTGTTTTACCTTTTTGGTTAGAGGTACACACATTAAAGCACTTTGTGTTGTTGAAATCGGGGAGAAATCCAAACCCTTACTGAAGATTTCTTAGAGCCAGATTTAGGTTTTAGGAGAAAGAATAATTCTTATTCACTCTGAAAACAATTCTGTACAACCACTATTTATAGACAAATTAGGGATAACCACAGCCGGTTTTAAATCCCTTGATTTCAGCCCTATAGATAATATATTAGGTAACTCCTTATCTAGAGAAATCAAGAAACAAATCAAATCCCTACAAAATAGGAAACTACAGCTATACAATCAGCCTATTCTAAATGACTTTCCACACTCCCCCTCAAGCGGGAGAATGTATGTCAATCATTCCCAGCTTGGATAGTAGAGTATCGAAGTGAGTTCTTGCAATAGCTTTGGTGAACACGTCTGCAGTTTGTTGTCGTGTGGGCGTGTAGACAACTTCCACAATTCCATCCTCTATCTTTTCTTTGATAAAGTGACAATCTATTTCCACGTGCTTGGTGCGATCATGAAGGACTGGATTCTTCGAAATACTGATGGCTGCCTGATTGTCACACAACAGTTCCATAGGAGTCTTGATTGGGAGTTGTAGTTCTTCTAGAAGTCTTCTTAGCCACATTCCTTCGCAAATTCCGTGAGCTAGGACCCTGAACTCAGCTTCAGCACTACTCTGAGCGACTACTAATTGCTTTTTGCTCCTCCAGCTGACAAGGTTTCCCCATACAAACGAACAGTATCCAGAGGTTGATCGCCTATCAGTCAAAGATCCCGCCCAATCTGCATCATGATCTCTATGCCCCTGTTTATTCCTTTCTTGAAAAATAAACCTTTGCCGGGAGACATCTTTAAGTACCTCAGAATCCTGTATACTGCTTCTTGATGCTCTTCATTCAGACTATTCATGAATTGACTAACCGTGCTGACAGCGAAACTGATGTCTGGTCTTGTGTGAGATAGGTAGATTAGTTTGCCCACTAACCTTTGATATCTTCCTTTATCTACCGGACCTGAATCTCCTTTAGTCCCTATTTTGTTGAAAGGATCCATAGGAGTGTCTGAAGGCTTACAGCCAAGCATGCCTATTTCTTTTAGTAAGTCCAGTGTATACTTCCTCTGTGAGACTGAAATTCCTTTGCTAGACCGTGCTACCTCCATTCCAAGAAAGTATCTTAGAGCTCCAAGGTCTTTGATTTCAAATTCCTGACTTAGGATTGATTCCCTTTAGCCGAGCAATTTCTGCCTCATTGTTCCTAGTAACAATTATGTCATCAACATAGACAATAAGGATTGTAATCCTACCATCCGAATTTCTATTGATGAATAACGTGTGATATGATTGTCCTTGCAAATATCCCTACTCCTTAACTGCCTTGGTAAACCTGTCAAACCAGGCTCTTGGCGATTGTTTGAGACCATATAGTGACTTTCGAAGTCTGCACACCTGTTTGATGCCTATTGATTGCTCGAGCCCAGGTGGAATTTCCATATATACTTCCTCTTCTAAATCACCATTGAGGAATGCATTTTTAACATCAATTCAATGTTGACAGCTAAGGAAAGTATAGCATATAAAATAACATGATCTCCCAAGTTATGTTTGATTTCCATAGGTTTTCACTGATATAGAAATGATCTCCCAAATTATGTTTGATTTCCATTCTCTTTTATTAGGCGAGCAGCAAACAGGTTTGTTCCTATTTCTCATTCTTACCATATGCCTAGACTTGTTGGGCCATGGTGTTTTAAGTGCATAAAAGTTGTTAACATAAGTATAAATATAAATTTATTTAATTATAAAAAAGTAAAATAAACACCTAAAATTAAGATTGATTTATCTAATAAACAATCAAGAAAAATGTGGGTTAGAAAAACTGATTTAAGGTGTTTTGATAGTGGTTGTTCCAGGCACATGACTGGTACTCAGGAAAATCTGTTAAATTTCTGGGAAGGAGATGAAGGGTTCGTGACTTTTGGAGATGGTATGTGTTGGAAATGGTGTCCAAAAGCATGAGATGTGATTAATAAAATAGAAATTTCATTATTTAAGTGAATCTATTGTTATATACTTGAATATCATTGAAAATTCTACGATTATTTATGTGACCTTAACTATGGTATATAAGTGTTGTATACTAGAGGATAATATTTAAGGATAATACTCAAAATTAGTACGTAATAAATTTAATTAAAGTTCAGAATCTTTAATTCAAACATTATTAATGCATGTCATTTCCACTAAGAATGGAATGAGCTTATCCACATCGTTAATATAGAGAGATGTCGAATGACTATATTTTACATAATGAGATTATGTAGGACTGGGACACAGACACAATATAAATTTCTAATAATTTTCGTTAAGTATAGAAATTCTAATTGAGTCTACTGATGATTATATATAGATGATCTTAATCATGCGTTTTTAGTAAACTCCTATTTATGGATTTGTGTCTTTTGATTTACTCGGTACGGATTTTGAGATTTTAAATCATATTCCTTATATCTTGGAGATATGAAGAAATAAGTAGCCGGGACTACTAATATTACGAGATGGAATCCATTTCTTCTTGAAAAAGAAGCAGATAAATAATTTCCTTGAGGATTGATTCGGTGCTTGGATTAATAAGAGCTCAAATTCTTGAATGTGTTTTATGAATCACTATCTATTAAAAAATTGATGGTACTCAAGGATAAAGATGTAATTAGAGAGGTTAATAGATTTCACTTAGCTCTAATTATGAATTATTTATGGAGGATTGATCTATTTGTAGTGACTATATCAAATGGACACTTCAAGTTCTTAGAAGTAAATTATGTATATAATTTTGAGAGTGCAAGTTTTTAGTGGAGTAACTTTTGGAATTAATAGAATTAATCAAATAATTAAATAGCTTAATTAATTATTAATTTTATTGGAGCAGAATTATTGACCCATGAGTCCCCGCGTCATCCTTGTAATATTTGCAAGACAAGATGAATTATTGGGATTTAATATCACTCTAAATAAATAATGTGATATTTAATTAATTTAATTTTGGAACACGCTATGTTGGGACCACGGAGGCCGCACGCCCAGGCACTGGGACGTGCAAGGGGCGTGTGATAAAGTGTGAATTCTACTGGGATTCAGTTGCTTGCTTTTCAAGATATCTAGTTTACTTGTTTGACAAGTTTTACAATCAAATTCAAAAGGAAAGTAGAGTTTGACTTAAATTAAATTTGAATTTGAGGTAAAATTAGAATATGGATTAATGAGAAATTTTTCCTCTCTCATGCTTGCTATTTGAGCCAACCGCAGGGAGATCTCCCTATGGTATGGCTAGCCATATAATAAAAGGGTAGGGAGAATTTTGTTTCCAAAATTAAATGGAAAACTGTATTTCGAATAAGATTTAAAATAACCAATTTTATATTGTTTTGTCTCTAAGTTAAAGCAAATGGGTCCTCCTAGTGTTTTATAAATAGGAGACAATAGAAAATTAGATAACACAAATTTTTTCCTCCTTTCTCCTATGAGATAGGCGTGTAACATAACTCTTATAGGAATCTAACATTATGTTTGACAGCATGTCACATTCTAGTGACAACCATGTAATCAGAGATAAAAAGAGAAGAAAAGTTCTTACAATTCTGAGTTTCATCACATAATCTCCTAGTTGCATAATAGAGCCCATACTCTACTCTTCAAATGGCAAAGTACAGAAGATTGCAATACTCTCCAATTAGTGCCGCCAAAACTGATCATAGGAGTCCAAACGGAGGCCTTCTCTCCACTGAAAGGTACCTAAGAACACCTATTTGGACCAAAGAGCTCCACAACGCTACCACTCAGAAATGAGGTCTCCTGCCCATGGAACCTCGTAGCCACCTTCAGCGCACCCTGATCTAATCCAAAACTGATGCCTAAATCTATGTGGATTATAAAGCGTCACAAGATACATCTATATTTTCTTCTCTCCATACACCACCAGCCATGTCGGAGCAGTAGCTAAGAACAAAGCATACCACGACTGTAGTATATAGCTCCCAGATCTTGCTCAAAAAGTAAGGGTCAAGAGCTGCATCAGACTAAACTCCACTACAACTCTGC